TTTTCTCAGGTCTCTGTAACCCTTGGAAGCCTTTACAGACAGCAGCCGCTGCCTTCCTGGGCGCGGTCTGAGTCGCACAGCCCCGTGTAGGCGCTCGTGTGCGGCCCTGCTCGGATTCGGCCGGCTCTCGGGGTACCTGGCTTAGCAGCTTTGGTGCTTTCAGCAACACTACCAGTCTCTAGAGCTTATCACTTGGAAGATTTTTACATGCCGCCTCTCAGCACACGCTTTCCCTCTTTGGCCTGCTGTACTCTGGTAATGGTTTCTCTGCCTGTACTGAGCAGCAGCAGCAGAAACTATTCACATAACCTCCCACCATTGGGAACTTGGAGAATGGTGGCCTCTAGCAGAGGGGCAGGTCAGACGGGAGGGGCTGTTACCTTTCACTGCTGTCACAGCTGGGGTTGTTCAAGTACCTCTGCAAATGCATGTGTGGGGCAGCAGCTTAAACCCTCAGACAGGGAGGGTGTCTGTGTAAGTTTAGGTTTCCTTTTAGATGAGGTAGCTGTGGGACTAGCTAAAGGTGCAGAGCAGCTCCATGTTGGACCCGACAGGTCTTACCGACTGTTTCCATGAGCCAGCTGCTGATATTCCATGTTTGTATTCTTGCAAATTTCTCAGCTATTAAATATTCCTCAAGTCCCTGTTGGTGGGATGCAGCAATTTGAGTGTGTCTTGGCAGCACCTGAACAGCTGTATGGTATGTCATGGCTGGGCCCACCCGTCTCCAGCCAGCTGCTGTAGCCTATGGACAGATGTCTGTAGTGCTGACTGAAGACACTCTTAACAAGTTGTTGGTGATAAAATCTTCAGCTGGTACTGCTAGCTTCAGAGGATGTCTTTCTGAGGCCTTACACTGTAAAAATGCTGTGTGGAAGCTTGCTGGTTTTTGATAACTTCCCAAGCTTGTTGTGTTGCTACAGCAGGGGCTGATTGTAGGACATGCCAGTAATAACAAACTAATCTTTAACCTTTTCAGAAGGAATCTGGTGAAAGCTGAGTGGAAGCCAGGACAGGGCATCGCAGAGCTGCAGTCCCCTGCGGTGAGTCTGCTGCAGAGTGTGCTCAGTGCCATCATCTCCTGCTGGCCTTTGCAGAGTGCTTGATTTGCTCCTTGAAATGGGAGAGAGCCTGGCTGGCAGCAGGGGAGAGCCAGAGCCCATCAGGGATTTGTGCTTCTGTTCCAGGGGAAGTTCTGGCACACCATGGGGTTCAGCGAGCGTGGCAAGCAGTGCCTGCTGCCCGAGGAAGCTCTGTACCTGGTGGAGTGTGTAAGTAGGATACCTGCACAGGGACAGGGGCATCGGGTCCTGCCTGAGGGATTGGAGGAGCTGTAGCAGCTCTAGGCTGAAGTCTGAAATCACTTGACCTGTCCTGGTTGCTGCTGCAGTTTGAGCAGCTGATAAACACTTGGTTCTCCAGGAACTCTTGTAGCCTCCAGGCTACAGGTTCCTGTTTTGTGCTCCAAAGCAGCCTGTGTGTCATTGACAACTCCTGTTAGTGTTAGCTGGGTGGGCAGCAGCTGGTTTATTTAGCTGGTATCGTGTTTAATCCTCTCCTATGTCAAATGTGACAACAGAGACTAGGAGAGGTTTGGCTGATGCAGATTTCTGTTAGCACAGCAGTAGTTGGCCTGCTTACCAGAGTGAAAGAAGTGTGAGGAGCATGTTACAAAGTTTTCTCTTATTTCTACTTTATTGCTCTGGGGCTGATGAAACACACATTGATATATAAATTACTTCCTTACTGAAATCTGTAGGTATAGGGAATTGAACTTCCACAGTCCAGGAAAAATCACTCTTATGGGAATTTCTGGAAAGGAGATCAAACCATTATCTTCTCTTCCTAGCAGAAATTAATTGTAATAAGAGATTTGATACCAGGAAATCCTTTTTCTCAGAACTGGTGTACAGTTAATGAGGACATCTGAGACTGGTCAGTGCCTTCTCTGTCATAAGTTCACTTCCTCTCTTGTCCCCAGTGTATCTTATGTATTTTGCACTGCCAGGCTCATGAGTTCATTAGCAGAGTTTTTCTGGTTTTAATTCTTTTCTAAGAAGCTGATGGGAATTAGTGGAACTATCCAGCTTGGTAGGGCCAAACTGAGGCACTAAATCGGATCTTTCCATGTGAAGGGTGTTGGTGTGGGAGGCAGTTCTGTAGCAGCCAGTGCTCCACATGCTTTATACTTAAGCAGAGAACTTTGTGGGTGTTACTTGGTATCTTTTCCAAGTATATACTGCAGAAAGAAGTTTAAATGTGGCAGACAGAGGGGGGAGATGGGGTTGCTTTTAGTGCTCCTGTACTGGCAGAAATGCTGGTTAGGGCTCAGCTGCATTTCTTTGCTGAGGAAAGGGGGGTTTTGTCTCTTCACCAAAGCCTGTTACTGGTAGAATAGGTGCACTGATCTAAAGCAGAACTATTTTTCCCTTAGCAAAACTTAATCAGATGGTGGGCATCTGATGCCATACTTTAAATCCTAACTGCAAAGGCAGGGCTTGTTTATCTCTGGCATTTTGACAAACAGTAGATTGTAAACAATTTGATTGCAATAAAATGTAGTCACTTGCCAAGTATAAAATCTCTCCCCAGAAGCAGAAAAGGCCAGTTAGATATGCTCAGCCCATCCCGTGGTTCCTAGTGTTTTGTTTTGTTTTGTTTTTTTTAAAATGAATTTACTCAAACAACAAAAAGTGTGTAGCCAAAACTGCCTCCTGGATGTTAACTGCTCCTGTCTGGGGAATCTACCAGTGGGATCACTGGAGCTGCAGTAAATGCTTCTGAGGAGCCACCAATTCCTCTGCTCCATCTCTCACAGTTGTGCAGCAGAAAACGCCAGTTAGATATGCTCAGCCCATCCCATGGGAGAGGTGTGGTTCCTAGTGTTTTGTTTTGTTGTGTTTTGTTTTGTTTTTAGAATGAATTTACTCAAACAACAAAAAGTGTGTAGCCAAAACTGCCTCCTGGATGTTAACTGCTCCTGTCTGGGGAATCTACCAGTGGGATCACTGGAGCTGCAGTAAATGCTTCTGAGGAGCCACCAATTCCTCTGCTCCATCTCTCACAGTTGTGCTGTGTCCTAAATTACTGAGATCATCAAAGTTAATGAAAACTACCTTGTAAAGCAATTATTATTTTAGTGATTGACTGTCATGCTTCCAGCTGCATCCTCCAAACAGATGCAGTGCTGAAGCAGGAGCTGACAGCTGTGGGTGGGAACTTTTTACCTGGCTGCTAAAACCAAGGCGTGGGGCAACTGGGCATAGGAGAGGGTCTGTAAGTATTCCGGGGGAGACATGGACATCGTGTCAAGGAGGGTGGTGACACCAGTGGGACAAGAGTAGTGTGAGCTTGCATGGTTTTGTTCCCTGGGCTTCTCTAAACACCAAGCTTTTCTCCTGCAGGGCTCTGTCCAGCTCTTCTACAGGGATTTGCCCTTGTCAGTCCAGGAAGCCTACGAGATCCTGCTGTCCCAGGAGGCACTGAGCCTGCCACATTACCAGGTGTGTTGGGACCTCCAGTACTGCAGGGGGGACGAAGGCAGAGAGCCCAGCCCCTGCCTCACGACCGCCTTGGTGGCTGAGAGCAGGGCAGCTCAGCTAGGGAGGGAAAGGGACTCATTCTCAGTCTTTCCCACTCACCTTCTTCCAGATGACCGGTTCCTGTTTCCCCACCTCTGCTTTGGGTTTTACCCCTGGTGTTTTCTCCTCTGCCAGTGCCACACTGTTTACCCAGTTGGAGCAGAACTGGAGTAAATTGTTTGGTTTTAGCGTAGTCATTTAACCCTCTTGCTTTCCTTTGCTCTAAGGTGTTCAGCCACTTGAAGCAACTGGGTTATGTTGTACTGAGATTCGACCCCAGGTAACCAGCTTTTTATTTCCACGCTGCTTTTGCCTTTCTGAAGACTGAGCAGCTCTGTGCCCACTGCATGGCCCCAGTGGAACGGCAGAGAAGAGAACTTTGACCCTGCATTCTCTCTTGGGAGGATTAAAGGCTAAAAGTGGCACTCTACCCTTCCTTGCTCCTCCCTCTTGAGGAGGTGATTTGGAACATGAAATGGGGCATGAACTGAGGACTGTCCTGGTCCTGCTTATGGATTTGGTGTGCCTGAAAGAAAAGGGTTTTGTTGCCATGTTCTGGGGGCTGAGCAGAAGGGTAGTTTGGCTGCCCCGCCCTGCTGTCAGCCTCCGTGTTGGTGTCTCCTTACAGCACTGTCCTGTCTCCCTATGAGAGGCAACTGAACCTGGAAGGTCACTGCCAGAGCTCTGGGAAACACCACCGCAAGAGGAGGAGGAGCTCCAGCCCCCGGTGAGGATGTGGCCCAAAGTCTTCTTCCATCATCCCCGAGGCTCTGCAGCTTGGGAACAGCATCCTCAGCCCTCTGTGCTGCGGGTGGCTGGTTTAGTGCAGCTGCTTGTGGCTGTCCCCAGGCAGTGCAGTGCTCTTCCTGAGCTTTGCAGTGTGTCCCTTTGTCACATCTCTACTCCACACAGGGCTAATGGGGCAAAATGCGCCTGAGCCTCCCAACTGCAGCGCTGAGATGCCAAAATAAAAGGGCATAGAGGTCAGTGCAGAAGAAACACAGATGTCTCCTCTTGCTGTTTTATAGCAGGAGTGCAGGCACCACAGCATATGTCTTGTGCTTATCTACTCAGTGCAGCTTATGTGCTGGGACTGTACAGCAGAGAGCATGGCTGGGTCCTGGTCCTTGCACACAGCATTTAGGTTTTTGCCAAAATGCGAACAGAAGGTGACATAATTAGTAATTTTACAAATTACTGTCATAATTATGACAGTTTCCAGTAGGTGGCATCATCCTTTAAGAAACAAGGAGGCAGAGACTGGTCTCTCAAGTCAGCAAGTAACTCTGTGCCTGAGGAGTTATGAAATTTTAGGAACTGGGAGATAAAACTCTTAAACGTGCAGCTGACCCATCTTCTCTGGGAACAGGGACTGAGTCTCACACGAGTGAGAGATGCTGGCAGGGAAGTTTCTGCCTGGCCTGTGCTGGTTTGGCTGAAGTCCATTGTGGAGGTGTTTGGGTCGGTGTATGGGGTGTGGAGGCTGCGTGGCAGGTTGGGAACATGTGTCTGTACAAATCAAGGCTGGGCTTCTCTGGGGCGTTGAAGTCAAACCTCATGCAGGATGGCTGAGAAGTTTGCTGTGCCTTTGGCGTTCACTGCTTGTTTTGGCCTGCGTTTTTTCCCCCCTCATTTTGTCACACAAGTAAATGCCCTCCTTCCAGCCAAGGGGTTGTTGTCAATGGTTTGCAGACCTGTCTAGAGGTTCCTGCCACCTTTGCTGGCCTTCCTTCAGGCTTGGCAGACTGCATTGTTCCTCCTAGCAGGGAGGAGGCATGATTCAAAGGGAATAAAGTTCCACCACACATTCTCCTGTCTCTTATGCTGTTGCTTCTGTCTTTAGGTCGCATGAGAAGAAACATAAGGTGTCTGAGGACCTTCCAGAAGCTGAAGGCACCACCAAAAAAACTGGAGATGACTGTAGAGACTCCAGCTGCCTTCCCATGGATGAAGAGCCCTTGTCAGAGCAGCCAAAGGAATCAGATGCTGGCAGTGGAAAGGGGGAGTCAAACCCCATGCTTTCTGATACAGGGCGAAAGGACTCCCTGAGCCCCCCAAGGAGCCAGGCTGGAGACCACCAGAAGAGCAGCACCAGCACCCGTGCACCCTGCTGGGATTTTACCACTATCATCTTGCCAAACGTAGCCCCAGACCAGCCATGCACACATCTGCCCTCACCTGACAACAGGCTCCTGCCAGAGAATGTGCCAGGGAGGGAGGTTGATGCTGCTTGCTGGTGCACACGCATCAATCAGAAGCAGGAGAAGCTGTCACGGAAGGAAAGGGAGCAGCGAGAGAGGGAGAGCAGGTACAAGAGCAGCGTCAATGCTGACCAGGAGGTGAGGCGCTGCTCCAACTGGCAGGAGTACAAAGCCCTTCTGGAGCAGAGGAGCCAGCAGAGCACTTGGAGACGGCCGCCGCATCTCTGGGACCAAGCTGTCAGGCCCCTTCTGCAGCCAGATGAAGCCACCTCATCAGGTAGTGGCTCTGGGAGTTTGACAGAGACCCCGTTCTGCCCTCCAGCTCTGTGAAACAGTGTCTGGTACACAGCAGCAAGAGGGGTGGCATGGAGAAGGTGAACGTCAGTTCAGGGGATGGTACCTTGAGGAGAATCCCATTCGAAGGCCTGGGCAAAGCTGGCGCAGAGGAGCCCAGCCATGGACATGGAGAGAGAAAAGAAAGCTTGTCCTTTGCCTTTCCGTCTCTTTCTATAGCTCACTCAAGTGCCAGGGTAAACAGGCCTTGGGAGGTCTCCTAATCCGTTCCCCATGCCCCCCTGTGTGGCATTGCTCCCTGCCAGGCTCTGGGGCGCGTGGGGTCGGGGCTGGCCCGACGCGGAGCAGCCGCCGGGTGTTCCGGGTGTGCGCTGGGGGCTGGGGAGGTCAGGGTCTTTGAAGCAGCCAGCAGTGACTGTGGTGCTGCCAGCCATTGTCGGAGGAGGAAGGCTCGTGGGTGGTGGTGGAGTGCTTGGATGCCCTGGGAGAGAAATAGCTGCTCTGATCCTTTCCTGCTCCTCCCCCCTGCAGCTGCGCTCCTCCAGCAGATCGCCGTGCTGCAGCCCTCCCACATCCTGGACGGAGCCGACCGGTTAGTATCCAGCCAGCTTGTACCTGCTGGGGAGAGGGGTGTCTTGGGACTGTCCCTGCCTGCGAGGTCTGTGAGGTGCTCACAGCAGCAGTTCAGGTGCTGCCTGGCACCCAGGTTGCCTAGGGAATCCAGCACTCTTCTCCATGACCTCGTTGTGCCTGTAGTGAGGGGTTGATGTTTCCATGAAGTATTGTGTCCTGCAGCAGCAGAGCTGAGGTGCTCCAGAGCAATTAAAACAGGGGTTGCTCTCTTTTCTGGCTGTTCCCTCTCTGCACCCTAGCCAGGTAATCCCCTCAGAGGTTTGGTTGGGTTTCACCTGTGCCCATCCCTGGAATGTGCTGCCATCCCTGCTGTGTTGATCATAAAACCTTGGGTGTGGGACTTTTTGTTTCTGCTCCTGCCTCAAAGTCTGTGTGGTGATGGTGTGCAGGCCCTGCAGGGCAGAACAGAGCTTTGCTTCAGTATCTGTTAGCACTTCTCCCAAGGGGGTCTGCAGAGAAGGAAGTGTGGCAGATGTGGGGCAGGCATTTGGTCTGGTCTGACTACAGGAGAGATCAGGAAAGTAACTGGAGCAGTTACAGGGTCTGTTCTCAGAGGAGAGACTTTCAAAGGGCCCAATCTAGCCAGGATTCAGAAGCTTTGCTCCCTTTCCTCTATGTACCCTACAATGTTTCAATACCATACCTATGTGGGCGTGTTCTCTCTTCTGCAGGCTGCAGGAGGACCCAGAGGCCATGAAGATAGACTTCAATGTGTACCCAGCAGATGCTGTAGCCAAATTTAAGAAGACAAACCCTGGGAAGCCCTGTGTCAGGATGTGTGTGCGGAGGTATCTGTGGGTCTTGCGCTGTAGCAGTTGCTGTTTGGAAATTAAGTCCTTGTGATCTGTAAATGACCTGGCAACTTGTGAGCTTTACAAGTCATCAGAGTGCCTCCCTTGAGGGTGGTCCTGCCCAGAATTTTATTTCTTTTTTCAGTTCCTCCTTTGTTAAAGGCTGAGGCAAACAAATCCCACAGCCCTTGTACTCAGCCCACTCTACTTGGTCATGGTTGCTGCTCATGTCTGAGTATTACTGGAGACAGGAGTAAAAGGCCATGGCTGTATTTGTGCAATGCTTGTGAAACTTGGGTAGAGCTCAGTTTTGCAGGAAGCCATATGGTACCTGGATCCTCAGCTAGTGCAGATCCCTACAGATTTCAGCAGAGATTTACCTGCCCAGAGCTCGCTGCAGGATCAGGGCTATAGGTTTAGTATTTTGGTTGTTGTCAAATGTAACTAAGATCAGTACAAAGGATAGATGTCCCTTTTCTTGCTGGATCCAGTATCTGATACTGGAACTTCATAGGCAGGTACAAAGTTCAAGTTCTGCCTTTTCTGATTTTGCAATTTACTGAAACCATCCCTTCTTGGCTCTCTGCTGCTGTAGTGGCCAGACCAAGCAAGGTGGTAGTGCAGTTTCACAAAGGTCTGTTGTAAGCAAGTAGAATTGTCCTTGCTTTATAAATATTTTCATTTGCAAGCAAATGGTCTCTACAGATTTAGAAGGAGGGAAAAACAGGTCAGATGTTGATCCCAGCAACCTAAAGATCTTCCTAGCACAAACATATTAAGATTGCAGTGGGCTGGCAGTTTGCCAACAGCCTTGTGAGCCACATCTAACAGGTAACTGCACACCACTCCATGTTGTGCCTGTGTTTTTGGCAGAGGAATTGACAGCTCCCAGTTCCCAGCATGCAGTGTACCCTCTTGGGGCTGGCAGCCTCCTGCTTTCACCGAAAGGGCTGGGAAGGGTCACTGCCAACTCCAAAGACCCAAGTGAGCTGTTGTGATCGTTGGCTGGGACAGCTTTGTCTGCGTTCTTGCGTTGAGTACAGTGGGGTGTTTTTCTCTCTGCAGCTTTGGCGAGCAGATTCCCTCCCTTCGGGCTCTGAAGCAGGTCACGTATCGCAGCGGGGACGTGCCCGTGGTCTTTGCGCTGGTGGATCATGGAGACATTGCCTTTTATTCACTAAAGGAATTCAAGCTGCCAGTTGATGTTAATCACTGAAGTTGGTGACTCTTGCAGAAATGCTATTGGCTGAAGGGAAGAGCTTTACTCAGGATTTTTCTTGATTAATGAAATATTACAGAAAATAGAGGCTATGATAAGTGGAACTATCTTATTTGCTGTTACAGACTTCACCCAATCGGATGGCTCAGGCATAATTGCAAAATTTCCAGCAAACAAGTGTGTATGGATTAGCTGGGCGTTTCTGGACTGGAGTACACATGGCTTTGTTCTTGAAGCCACTGGTTCTCCAGCTTGGTCATCTCGTGGACCACGAGTCTGACTTTTCTTAGAAAACACTTTGCTGGTGATCCTCTTGTCACATGTTAAGAACCACTGTGCTATACCAGTTGAATGGTTGGAGAGTCACTGAGGTCAGTCAGGGACAGAATAAGCTGATCAGATCAGTGGTGGTGTCCTGAGCCTGTGTCATTCAGCTACACCAACTGTCAGATCAGATTCTGATCTGAAAAAGGCACATCCATAAAACTCAGACACCTGGAGTAAAGTTTCCAGGCACTTGAGAGCAGTAACTGTGCCCTGAACACTTATTTCATCAGCCACAGAGCGTTGCAGATGGCCCCCCAGCCTCACGCTGTAGCTGCTGTGCTGGGATGTGTTAAGGCCCCTGCATCATGTGCCATATTAAACTTTGGCCACCAATATCAGCACACTATGTGGTGGTCTCACCAGGGCTGTACTGCAGCCTGCTCTGTTTCAGCCTGACCTCCTCTTTCCTGGCTGCAGATCATTGTCTTTCTGTTGCAAGTAAGAGATCCCAGAATAAAGAGAACCTACAGATTCCTCATGGGCTTTCCAGTTCTGTGGCTGTCTTGCTACAAACTGAGGACTTCATTGCTTTCCTGTGGGAGCGTTTCAGCAAGATTTGCAGGTACCCAATTTGCTTTAGTCTCTATGCAAGAGCACCAGAAAATCTGCTGGGTGGATAGAAGCATGCTGAGCATGGCTGTGTTTGCCATCAAGGTTTTCGAAACAGCAGCTGGTTTAGATGCATTATATTTGATAATTTTTTTAGTTCCTTTTGGAGATGAGAGGGCTAAGCAATAAAAAAAGCCTTTTGCAACAGTGTGAGCACTTCAGTGTGGCTTTTCATTCCTGCAGAAATGCTACACGACATCTTGCCATCTCCTTCCTCCTGCATGGTCAGAGATATGGTTGCCCAAGGTGGCAGGGCTCTGCTACAAGCACTGTGCCTGGTCCTGTTCCACACACACACCCCTGTTATCAGATGCCAGAAGTCAGCAGGACTCTGAGGGTCTGACAGCTCCTCCCACATGCCCTCCCTTTCCTCTTCCTCCTCTGAGCAGTGATTTTGCTCTGATATTTCTCTACAAACGCTGGGGTTGGCAGCTCTAGTCTGTGCCCTCAGCATTCTCCCAGACAGTTTTGCAGATTAAAGACAGTGGGAAGAGAGAGTTTCTAAGAACAGGCGTAGCCAGAGGAGCTCCAGTCTGACCCACAGGGCTCACGTTTGTCCTGGAATTAGGTCAAACTCACTCCTGTTAATTTCAATCAGTCTCTTCTGCTTATGCCAAGGTGGAACTGTATCGATGAACTCTCCAAAAGCCACCCAGTGAGTTTCGCTGGGGCAGAGACTCCCTGATTCAGCACAAAACAATTACAATTTAATAACCACTGCAGGGAGGATTGAGAAACTGTGGCTGCCTTGCTCAGCACCACAACATCTGATGGTGCCTTTACCTGGATGGGCTTATGATGCAGACTGATACCGCTGTTTCATTTTGCCCTGCGATGTGGATCAGCTGGATGTTGCAAGAAGATGACAGAAATGAAAATTTTAATTGGAAAATAACACTTTTGGAAGCTCAGCTGAAACATTGACTGTTACTGGCCCCTTGTCAGAGGTACCTTCAAGGTTTTGTATGGTTGGCACTCCTTGGATGGCTGTTGCATGCCATGTAATGACCAAATTCCTCACCCTGCTGTCCCGCACGGTAGGATACGGGCACTCCGTGGCTGCAGCAAGGTGCCAGCACTCGTGTGGCTGTTTAACAGAAAGTTGAAGCTTTAATTGGACTCTTCCCCCACCTTGTTCTCAGGAAGGCTGGCACCTTCCCTCGGCCTCCGGGGCTGATGGGGGGCAAAGCCGGGA